AGAGTATGTCACCACACCCAGATGGAAGCTTTGTACGTAGCCTTTGAGGTACATTTCAGATCCACAGTATAACGGTATGTGTACTTCCTCCCAGTGCATTTGTGCCGGGGGCTGGGCAGGCTCATAAAAGAAGCAATGGGTTCAAGGATTCCAATACCTCTATAAGGCTGATACCTGCCTAGAGTCCCCCAGTCAGGGTCTGAGTCATCTCTGCAGGCCACTGTTGTTGCTAAAGATTTATTACTTTTAATTATGTGTGTGCACCTGATTACTGGTGCTTATGGAAACCAGAGAAGGGTACCTGAGCTGGAGTTACAGGTGTTTGTGAGCCACCTCACACGGATGCTGGGAACTGAACCCGGGTCCTCTACAACAACAGCATGGACTCTTAACCTCTAAGCCATCGCTTTGGCCACATGTGTTCTTTTGAGAAAGGGTCTCTTGTATCCCAGACTGGTCTGGAAGCTTCTATGTAGTCAAATATGACCTTCAGTTCCTGATCGTCCTCATCTTCCTCCTGAGTGCTGGACTGTGGACTGCCGCAGCTGGCTATTACACAGATGCTTTTTTATAAATATTTTTTAAATTTTATGCTTGTGGGTGTGCACATGTGTGTGTATGTGTGCTATGGTGTGCACATGGAAGTTAAAGGGCACTTTGAGGCAGGTTTCTCACTGACTGCTGCAGGAGCCAGGCTGGCCTAGGTCTCCTGTGTCCTCACCCATCTCCCTCAGGAGTGTTGGCTTCTATGACTGTATCTTGCTTTATGTGGATATGTGGGATTTGAACTCAGGCCCCAAAACTTTTGTGGTAGATGCTTTACCCACTGAGTCATCTCCCTAACCCCAAACAAAAAATTTAAATTATTTTTACATATTTTTAGGGGCATGTGTTTGTGAGCCGTGTGTGTGGCTAAGTGTGGTGGTTTGAGTAAGAATGGCCCCCACAGGCTCATATACTTGAATGCTTGGTCTCGAGGAAGTAGAACTGTCCAAAAGGATAATAAGGATTAGGGGTTGTGGCCTTGCTGGAGGAAGTGGGCTTTGAGGTTTCAAAAGTCCATACCAGGCCATTCTCTCATTCAATGCCTATGGGCCTGGACGATCGTTTAGCCACTTACCCAGCACCTACTGCCATGCTCCCGCCATGGTGATGGTGGACATACCCCTGAAGCTATAAGCAAGCCTCCAATTAAATGCTTTCTTTTATATAAGAGTTGTTTTGGTCTTGGTGTCTCTTCACAGCAACAGAACAGTGACCAAGACACTGGTTGTGTGCCAAAGCATGCCCGTGTAGGTCAAATTAGTGGACAATTTGCAGGACCCACTGTGGGCCAGAAGGGTTGACCTCACATCATCAGGCCTGGCAGCAAGCACCTTTACCCACTGAACCATCTTGACTCAAGCTGTAATTTTTTTATAGTAGATTTTTGTTGTTGTTTTGAGACAGGTTCTGTAGAGACAGGTTATTATGTAGCCCAGGCTAACCTGAAACTCATGGTGATTCTCCTGCCTCAGTCTCATAAGTGTTAGTTTTTTCCAGGGTGTCACTGTCCCTCCACATCTTCCTGCTCCACACACTCAGCGGCAGTCAGCCTTCCTCTTGGCAGAGCCTGATTTGTGGTTGATAAGCAAGATCTGACTCAGCGCTAGCAGCAGCCCGCACCCTGGGAGGCGCTTTCTGGGGCAAGAACTTGGGGGTGAGTTAGTTCTTTGTTGCTCAGTAACAAATTGTTGCAAACTCTGTCCACCCCACCATGTTTTTATCTGTTTGCTCCTGTCCTGTGGTCAGCAGTTCTGCTCAGCATCACAGGGCTTTGTTCATTGTCTCACAGGATGCCAGCTCCTCAGGGCTCTTTGCTCAAGGCCAGACTTCAGTTCCCAGGAACCTGCCTGTCTCTGGGAGCAAAAGCTAGCAGGGTTGATTTTCTCTGTTCTGCCTCTGGCCCACAGGCTAGCCCTTTCTGTCAGGACTCTGAGGCTAGGCACCCAGTGTACTCCCCTTCCTCCTCTTTTGTTGCTGTTGCAGCTTGGAGACATGTCTCTGAAACCCAGGCTGTACTGAGATGACAGGTGGGCATTGCCATGCACAGGTTAACCTTTCTGTCTCTCTGGTCTGTATGTTTAGTCTCATGTGCGTGGGAACACATACATGCATGTGCATATTCATGTGGAGGCCAAAGACTGATCTTGGGTGTCTACCTCATGTATTGAGCCCGGTCTCTTGCTGTCGCTTGTGTGAGGAAAGGGACTTACTTCAGCCTACAGCTCTACATCACAGCCCATTGCTGAGGGAAGTGAGGACAAGAACTTAAGGAAGGAGCCTGGAGGCAGGAACTGAGGCAAAGGCCATGGAAGGGTGCTGCTGACTGCCTCGCACAAGGATACACGAGGCTTGTATTCCTATTTTCTTGAATACCCCAAGACAGCATCCCAGGGTTGGCACTACCCTCTGCGACCGGAGCCTCCAACACTAATCATCAGTCTTGAAAATGTCCACAAAGACCTGCCTACAGGGCCAATCTGATGAAGGCGTTTTGTCAACCGAGGTTCCCTCTTCCCAAATGACTCTTAGCTGGTGTCAAGTTGACACAAAACTATCCAGCACATACTCTTAGCTCTTAACCTAGAGCTGCCCAACTCAGCCAGTTTAGGCAGCCAACTTGCCCTAGGGATCCTGTCACTGCCTCCTAATTGCTGGGAGGATAGGTGACCACCATGCTTGCCTGAAAACCTGAAAACCAACTCTTCTGCAGCTTTTTTTTTTTTTTTTGAGGCAGGGTTTCTCTGTGTAGTCCTGGCTGTTCTGGAATTTGCTTGGTAGACCAGGCTGGCCTTGAACTCACTGAGATCCGCCCGCCTCTGCCTCCTGAGTGCTGGGATTAAAGGCATGTGCCACTGCTGTGCTGGAAAGGATGTAGCTGGACCCAGCCCAACTGAGGGCATGTGGTGTGAGTGCCGCTGGCAGGAGGAAGCCACTAATAGCTGAGAGTTAGTTAGGTCAGGTGGGTAAAACCCTCCGAAAGGATGAATGTGGGTCTCTAGTAGCTGATTCTCCAGAGGGTGGGTCCTTATGTCCACATTATGGTGTGTGTGTATATGAGGCATATGTGCATGTGGGTGTGTACCTGTGTGTGTACACACGCATGTGGGCGTGTACCTGTGTGTATACATGCATGTGGGGGCCAAAGTGCGGGGCCAAAGTGCCATTGGTTTTCACCTTTTTATTTTGTTTAAAGGTTCTAAGACAGGCAGTGGTGGCGCACACCTTTAATCCCAGCACTCAGAAAGCAGAAGCAGGCCCATTTCTGTGAGTTCGAGGCCAGCCTGGTGGTTTACAAGAGCTAGTTCCTGGACAGGCTCTAAAACTACAGCGAAACCCCGTCTTGAAAAACCAAAAAAAAAAAAAGTCCTTTATTTTATGAATATGATGTTCAATGTGCATGTATGTCTGTGTACCATGTGTGCCTGTCTGCAGAGGTCGATGAAGGTGTCAGATTCCCTGGAACTGGAGTTCCATAGTTGTGGGTGTTGGGAAGCACGTATAGGTCCTCTGCAGGAGCAGCAAGTGCTCTTAACCATGAAGCCGTCCACCTCATTTCCTATTTTTGAGACAGGGTCTCTGCCCAGCGTGGAGAATATCAGTTCAGTTAGGCTGGCTGGTCAGCCCCCCACCCCCAAGTACTGCCTGGGCTAATAGGTGTTCATTACCATGCCTGGCCACAGATACACTTTTGAAAGTGGACATTTCTGTAAGATAGTATAGGACAAATGTATTTGAATAACCTCACCCACAAGTAAATACAGTTTGTTTTTCTTGTTTTATATTTTAAAATCAGTGACTGGGATGGACCTCCTTGTGTATTTGTTTCTTAAATAAACCTCCACTCGTTGACTTGTTTTGCCACAAGCCTATGAAAACTCTAAAGCGGGGAAGATGGAAATCTTGAGGTGAGTGGTGGCACACCTATCTTCCAGGCAAGGGAGGTGAAGGCAAGACAATCACAAGATTGAAAATTGGAGAGTAACCTGTGCTACCTAGTGAGGCCTCATCTCAAAATACCAAGGGCTGGGAATGTGGCTCCACAGAGCATTTGTCAAACATGAGCAAGGCCCTGGACCCCAGAGCCTGCTCCACAAAAGTAAAGTTTGGAAGCAGCGGTGGCATGGTCCAGGCTCCAACCCAGCTCTGAATGGGATCAAGAAAGTGGGAATGGAGAGATGATTTAGTGGGAAAAGAGCTTGCTGCAAGCAAGCAGGAAGATGCACACAGGCTGGTTCTGAACAGAACTGCAGCGGTGGAGACGGCATTGCTGGCTGGCTACCCTGTCCCTTACAGACAGTGAGCTCCAGGTTTAGTGAGAGATCCAGTCTCAAAAGACACCATTGCTCACCTCTGGCCACAGCACACACATAAAGGAGCGAGCTTACATGCGCGCGCACAAGCTCAGTGCAAGAACTCAGTCCACGTAGCTCTAGAATGGCTGCTGCTCACAGTCCACTGCCACATCAACCCCACAGAACAAGAGTCCAGAAACTTCCCAGGAAGAAGCAGGTCCTATAAATACGTCTTTAGGTCACAAGTCAACAGATATGTGGACTTGTTTCCGATAATGTCAACATCTAAATGTCAATTTCTTTTAAGATGTGGTATTAACTATGTAGCTCAGTCTAGGTTGGAACTCTGAGTGATCCTCCTGCCTCAGCCTTCCTGGTACTGAGATGACAGGGGAGCCTGAACACCGAAATGTCAGTTTTATAAAATTAATGAGTTTTAAAATGTTTTCCAACTTTGCTAAAAAGTACTCTCCCCTCCCCCAACAAAATAAAGCACAAATTCTTTGAGCTTCCCGGTTGCCATAGATCCCTAAAGAACGTGCGGTTAGAACGACCCCCACCGCTCACCCCCCCCCCCCCCGTTTCTCGGGGGAACTCTCCCCCCATAGTGACGTCACGACTCTCGCCCCTAGGGGGTGGGGCCCGCGCAGGCGCGACCTGGGCTCCAGCGGAGGCGGGGCAGACGCGGCTCTGACTTCCAACATGGCGCACGCAGGCGGCGGAGGCTCCGCGGGCCGGGGATTCGGCGGCTCCCGCTGGGGTCGTTCAGGCTCCGGAGGCCACGAGAAGCTGCCGGTGCACGTGAGTGATGCTCCCAGCTTCCTTTTGGGGACCCGAGGCCCCGCGGGCCGGCGTCCCTCCGTGCGGCTTCGCCTCGGCCTCCTCTCTGCGCAGTCGGGGCCCGGGGACCCCACATCCCTTCCCTGGAATCCTTCGGTCATCCCGGCGGCCCCTCGATTTCCCCTAACGCTTCACTCCTTCTTGCCGCTCCTCGACCCTCCCGGAGATGCCGCGGACCTCCTCGACATCCCTCAGTCATTCCTGCGGTCCCTGTCATTCCCGGACCCCGCGGTGCGCTCCGGAACCCCCCGGGTCCTGCCCGCTGGCCCTTAGTTATCTTCGCCGCCCCTCGGTTTCCAGGGGACGTCGCGGCCTCCCCGAGACCCTTTGGTTCTCCCCTCCGGTCTTCGGTCTAACCCGGAACTCCTCGGGCTTCCGAAGCCCCTCGAGACTGGCCGCTGGCCCTCGGTCGTCCTCGTCGGCCCTCCCCGGAACCCCGCAGTTATCCTCGAGGCCCTTTGCAGCCCCACACCACCCCTTCTCTGTCTCTGGCCTTCCAGTCCACAGTCTCTGAATCGCGTGACCCCGGCCCACCGTCGGCCTTTTCGTTCCTCGCAGGTGGAGGACGCTCTCACCTACCTCGACCAGGTGAAGATCCGCTTTGGCAGCGACCCTGCCACCTATAATGGCTTTCTGGAGATCATGAAGGAGTTCAAAAGCCAGAGGTAACCTGCAGGGGCGTTCTGCACTCGGGAGCAGTAGGCTGGATGAGCCCCCCCCATCGGGGCTCTCCCCCCCCCCCATGTAGTACTAACTACATCTCAACCCTTAAGCTGGTGGCCTTTCATAGCTTTGGTTGGCCTGGGAAGCTTCTGAAATAGTCGCAGGATGAGGTAACTGAAAAGCTGATGAGGATTCCTGGAAGGAGGTCAGGAATTGGGGAATGGGTGAGATCCAGGCCTGGACAGAGAGCACTCTTTAATTGAAATGCTGGTTTGGGTGTCAGTAAGGTGACTCAGGGTAAAGGTGCCTGCCTCCAAGCTTGACCACCTGCACTCCAGCCCCAGAACCCACATGATTGGAGAGAACTGACTCCCCCAAACTGTAATCTGACCTACACTTGGTAGCTGTGATACATACCCCCTGCAAAAAATAAATTTAAACAGAACAGTTTTGAAATCTTTGAAGAGTTTTGTTTATGAAAGGTTGGAGGTACAAATTTTGTTTTGGGGAACAGTGGTAAAATAAATACTTCAAGAAAATGTTACTTATGGGAGGGTGCACGGTTTCTTCTTAAATCTTATTCCCAGGATGCGTCTCCTAGCCCTTCCTAGTTTGGTACCTATATGGATAAGGGACATAAAATACAGGAACTGTTGTAGGCACAGAGTCGTTGGTGTAGTGGGGTGCCTCTGAGTTATGCCTGTATCTTCTAGAACCTTTTGTGAGGGATGGCTTGGTTTAGGTGAGGGGCTCACCCTAGTGACAGGTGGTTGTCAGTCAGCTTCCCCGCTCTACTACTGTCTGCTCTCAGGAAGTGTGAAAGGCCTAGGCTTTTTTCTTCTGGCTATTCAAGATACTGAGGCCAGAAGATGACCCTCTCCATGTCTCCCTATTTTTCCCCCATCCTCTAACTGAAGGCTTTGGTGTTAAGACTTTTCCTTTAGTTAAGAAAAAAAAATCAAAATGGCTGGGCAGTGGTGACACATGCCATTAATCCCAGCACTCAAGAGGTAGATGCAGAGGGGTCTTTGAGTTCAAGGCCAGAGTGGTTTATAAAAAGTTGTAGGACAGCCAGGGCTACATAGAGAAACCCTGTCTTGAAAAATATTAAAACCCCAAAATGTATCCTTATCATTCCCTGGTTCATAAAATATTAGGAAACATCTCACATTGCTTGGAGTACTGTGGCCTCCTGTAGATTCTTACCCCAGCACCCAGGTCTTGGGACATTTTCAGAACTGGGCCTAGGATCTCGTATGACTTGGAAGCTGTGAATTTTTTGCCAGACCTAGGTAATCACAGGTGGTCTCACATGGTGGGGGTCCATTTTTATTTTAAGCAGGTCGTGGTGGTGCACACCTTTAACCCAGGCAGAGGTATATAGATCTCTTGAGTTCTTGGCCATCTGTTCTTAGAAAGTTCCAGGACAGCTAGGGCTACACAGAGAAACCTTGTTTCAAATGGAAAAACAAACAAAAAACCAAGAACAGGTTGGGGCTGGTTTTAGGAGTCTTTGTTGTCACTGAAGCCCTGGCCTGTGGTGATTCTAAGGTATTTGAGGGGATTCTTTCTGGTTCGATCCCAGGACTCTTGCCCACTTGCGTTCTTTTCTTCCAGCATTGACACCCCTGGCGTCATCAGGCGTGTGTCCCAGCTCTTCCATGAGCACCCTGACCTCATTGTGGGGTTTAATGCTTTCCTCCCGCTTGGATACCGCATAGACATTCCCAAGAACGGCAAGTTGAACATCCAGTCTCCTTTGACCAGCCAGGTAGGCTTCGTTTGGGTGATGTGGACTCAGTCATGCCTACCCGGAGCACAGCTGGACATTTGTGATGCTGCTGGAAGCCTTGTACAGCCTGTTCTAGTTCTCTGATAGCTTCCAATCCAAGTCAAGGGAGAAACACAGAGGCAGCCTCTGCATTCTGAGGTGAACAGTGGAGGTCTTAAATCGAGTGTAGTAGCTGGGGCTGTGGTTCGGTGTGGGAGAGCTCTTGGCATGGGTGAAGCCCTGGGTTCAATCCCCAGCTCGTGGTGGTGGGGGCGGTGGGGTGGTGGGGAGGGGATGGAGTCAAAGAGAATTTTGTGTTCAGAGTCATCGCATCACTAGTTGCTGAGGTCTGGCCTCGGGGCTTTCCCTACAAGTCTACCAGGCCAAAGTATATTGAGGCATCTGCTGGCTTTCATCCAGGTCACCAGTAAAACCAAGTGGTTGAGCTGTGTGCATGGAAATAACTTTGTTTTCTGCCACAGTTTCGTGTAGTTGGCATAGGTTCCTTTATCAGCTCAGGCTTGGTCCCCCACTCCACCACTGTTCACCGTAGCACAGGCAGGTCTGAAATGCATCATTCCTCAGCCACCACAACAGGCTTTAGGTGACATTGGACAGGGACTTTCCCAACTGTACCTGGAACCCAGGATCCAGGGCCATGAAGCCTTATCAGGAGTGACTTCTGGAATTTGTATGGCTGAGGTATAAAGCAGTGGCAGCTTTGTCGAGAGCAGAGAATTGTTCCTAGAGTTTATGCTGTCTGAACATCGCTGCCGCTTCCTAGAAAGCTGCCGGGAGCAGAGTCTGGGCCTTGGTAGTCTGTGCCCCTGTGTATCACACAGGGCTCTGGACTCACAGTGAAGCCAATAGCGGTTTTGTTTTCCTCATAGGTGGCTTAGATGGCCAAAGGCCCCAGTGACTTACAGAAAGGATGACAAAGATGGTCTTGGACCTATGAACAGGGAACCCTGCCAGTCTTGAGTCACCTTCCCTCAGGGTACTCTGGAGCTCCTTGGTCTCGGTGACAGTGATAACCTGATCGTGACCCAGGTGTTCGCCTGCTTTCTGATGGCTCACCGAGATGTCTTCAGGATCCCTGGAGCCTTTGCCATGCCATCGCAGCAGGAACCCTTACAGTCCCTACACATCAGCATCTGTCTTTGCTGTGTTCCCCATTGAGACATGGTCTCTATAGGCTGGCCTGGAGCTTGACATTCCCCTGCTTCAGCTCCCAGAGTGCTGTAATGATAGGCACCTACTGCCTATCACCCTAGCTTCACTGATTGGAAACGCAGCTTTTTCTCTCTCTCTTCCATTTTATTAGTTTGGCCTGACAGCTACAGATGAGCTCTGTCCTCTTATGTGCCGAGAAAGGTGCCAAGGGAGTCCCCGCCTATTTGGGTTCTGTGGTGAGATTTCGGAGCCTCTTTCTTGTGAGGAGTTTTGCACTCTGGCATGTGATATGGTACCCAGGGCCCCTGCCCTCCCAGTGCCAAGGACACCAGTGCCCTTGGTAGCAGATAAAAGTAGGGGTTAAGGGTCAAGCAGAACTGGGTACTTAGATTCAGGGTGTTCTGCCAGTATTTAGGAGGCAGGAGATTTGCCATGAGTTCAAAGCCAGCTACAGAGTAAAGACCCTATCTTACCTACCTCTGTGAAGAGAGGAGACAGATAGCCATGCCACGCCAGAAGCAGGAGGCCTGGAAAATTTGAACTGCTGTTAGTTCTACCTGAGTAAGCATCTTGAGTGCTGCTTCAGAGCCCTCACTGGCCATCAGCTTTGAGAGGTGTGTGTCCTGTGTCTGACCAAGCTCTTCAGAGCACCTTTCTCAGTTGCCTGTCTGTCACTGAGCTGTGTCAAGGGAGGAATAGGCAACCAGATATCAGTGGGCAGGTGAGTTCCTAAGTCCTCTTTGGAGGGGGACTAACAGGAAGCCCTTTGACACACTCTTTGGGGAGGCTCACTCTGTCTGATTAATTCTGAACCACCACTTCCTTGGAACTGGGCCCTCAGTTTAATTTGGGGTGTAGGATTCTCAGTGATAGCAGGAACTTTGGTGGGGGCAAGTAGGGAGGAGGAAGGAAGGGCGCTGGAGGGATGGGCTATTAGGAGGGTTGTCTATGAAGTAGGGCAGGACTGGAGGGGAGCTGAGTGATAGGTTTGCAGAATATTCCTGCTTCTGGGCCAGGAATCGCCCAAATGGAGTTGGGAGGACCCAGACCTTGGAGGACAGGACCTAGGAGTGGGTCAGTGAGGTAAGGTGTTTGTATGACCCAGGCTGGCCCTTCTAGTGAGGTGGAGGTTGGTCCCTAGGCAGAGGACACAAGGCCCTGGCAGCTGGGCCTGGTGGTTTGCTCATTTAGGCTCCTGAGTATCCAGGAGGACCTCATGGGCAGATGTGGATTGCAGTGTATCAACTGTTGAAACAGTCACCCCAAGGGGAAGTGCAGACAGAGAAATAGAGAGGATGAAGCGATTTGTAGGAAGTCCCCTGGAGGGCATGTCTGCTGCGGCTTGTAGGCTCAGTAGTGACGGGTTTTTATTTTCCAGAGATCACACTAGAAAATTGTATTACAGCTGTACAACCATAACCACTAGTTCCAGAACATTCCACCACCCCAGAAGCAGACCCTGCCAATCATTTCTCTGCTTCTTGTTTCTGTATATTGCCTGTTCGAGCATTTCACATAAATGGCCTTCTGTCAGCACTCACATAGTATATGTCAGTGGTTATTTTCTTGGCTGAGTAATGTTCCACTGGTGGACCGTGTTTTACTCATTCATCTGGTGGGTGTTTGAGTTGATTGTTGTGAATTGTGCTTCATTGAATGTTGGTGTATGAGTCTTTCCCGTTTCTTAGATCTGCTTTGTAGGATTGCAATTGCTGGGCTGTAGGGAAATTCTCTGTTGGATTGTTGAGGAGCTGAAGGCTGTTGCCATAGTAACTGTTCTCACCACCATCGAGTGTCTTCTGCAGAGTCCCTGGCCAGAGAACTGGCTCTCTGTCATGCTGTACTGGCTTATTCGGGACCAGAGGAACCATACAGTGCTGGAGCATGTCCCTAAATGGCTGGGCAAACCCAGACCCCTGCAACCTGGACCGTGGGCTGGCAGATTACTGAGATGAGAGTCTTGGCCCACATTTGGCAATCAGTGTCTGTGTTCTCAGCTTTGGCTTTTAGCCAGAACAAACTTTGTGTTTGTCCACTGTCGTTAGCCCCTAGTACCTGAGAACACCACTAATTGGCCTCTGATCCTTGAGTTCTGCACCTGCAGATTCACCACAGATTGAACAGTTCAGGGAACATACATGTATGCTGAGCATACAGACTGGGGATGGAACCTGGTCCTTGCCCATGCTGGGGAGGGGGGGTGTTCTGTATCTGAACCACACAAGCCTATTCTTGTGCTGTGTGTGATAGTCATTCCCTAGTCCACAAGGTTGACTATTGACAGTGTGCCTGGTATAAAATGTCTGGAGATGGGGATGCTTGTGGGGGCTATGCGTGTGTGTGTGAAATCTGTGGAGGAGGATTCTAGAATCTGTCCCCCTTGGATACTAAGGGACTACTATTTGGATGTGGGGCTTTGACTGAGAAAACATGGAACAGATGAGGCCATTTGAGTGGGCACTAATTAAGTTTGGCTGGCTTTTTTTTTTTTTCTAGACAGGATTTCTCTGTGTTGTCCTGGCTGTCCTAGAACTCACTCTGTAGACCAGGCTGGCTTTGAACTCACGGAGGTCTGCCTGCCTCTGCCGCTCGAGTCCTGGGATTAAAGGGTGCACCACCACTGCCTGGCTGCTGGCATTATTTTAAGAAGTGTTGAGGGTACAGCACAATCCTTCCCTCAGGAACCCGAACCCCTGCTGCTGGCACCTCCAGCATTTTGAGGAAAATGATTTATACTTCAAGAACAGATGTCATGTGTGTGCCTGCTGCCCGGAGGAGGGCAGAACTGCTGGGGCAGACAGCAGAGGTGTTTAGAGTCACTCCAGGATGATTCTGGAAGGTCGTGTTGAGCATAACTAGAGCCTCAGTGCACAAGTGAGGGTGCTTCCGAGAAACCCCATGCTGTTCCTCCAGGACTCTGGCCTGGCTGTAGCCACAGTTAAGCTCTCATGCCACCAGGATGCTAGTTTTCCCTGCAAAACAGGAGACATGTTTCTGTTTACAGCTGGAGAAAAATAGGCACAAGTAAGATGCTTTTCAGTTTGGCTCTGATAGTTTGACTATCACTGTCACTTGAGTTGTTCTGGGGCTTAGCACCAGAGGCCTTGTGGTGAGAATCCTAAGCCAGCTGCAGCTAGATGCACAGGCACTGTGATGGTCCCTCAAAGCCAACAGCCGCTGTTCCCACTCAAATAGTCTTGCTAAGATGGAGGCATCACCTAAAGCTCTACTCATAGCTCCAACAAGGTTTAGCTTCCAGGATTTGTGACTTTTCCCCTACATGCTGATCTCTTAAGAGTAGAAAGCAAACCTCTATCCCAGCACTGGGAAGGCTAAAGCAGGAGGTTGGCCAGAGTTGGAGCCAGGCTGCATGGGGAGATCAAGTCTCAGGAATACAGGGGAGGGCCTTGTTGAAATTTCAGGCACAGGAGACCTGAGGAGACTCTAGAAGGAGGAAGTACTTTGCCCCCATGGGTCCTCAGGTGTTACAGGAGCAATGCTTTTCAGCATGCAGTGACAATTCACCATTCTCTGGCCACGCCATGCCTCTCACTGCCCATATTCTGCAGGAGAACTCCCACAGCCATGGTGACTGTGGTGAGGACTTCAAGCAGATGTCCTACAAAGAGGACAGAGGCCAGGTGCCCCTGGAGTCGGATTCTGTGGAGTTCAACAATGCTATCAGCTATGTGAACAAGATCAAGACCCGCTTTCTGGACCACCCTGAGATCTACAGGTCCTTCCTAGAGATCCTTCACACCTACCAGGTAAGACCCAGCCTACCACAGCACCTGGGGCCTGACTTCAGCTGGCTCTTGTCTGGCATTTGGAGCTGAGAGTGGAGATCAGGTTCTCACAAGCTGGCCAGACATTTGCTGCAAGCCGCACCTCACCAGTCAGGTCACACTCTGTGTTCAGTCTAGTTCTGAGGGAATCAGAAGTAGGTTGGGGTAGAAAACGAGTGTGTGTTGAGAGGTGTGTAGACCAACCACTGTCAACCCCTGGTACAGTAGCAGGGAGAAAAAAGGCTGGGAACAGCCTGTACAAAGGTCCAGGGATTCAAGTGCACAACCCTGATTCTTAAGAAGGAAACTTCCTAAGCTGGCTCAACAGCTAACACTTAAAATGATAGGTTGTATCCCCAGCATTGCACCATTGCACAGCACACAAAGTTGCACAGATAAATAAGATTTTTTGGCTTACAGGTTTACTATCATAGAGCTAACCTAGACTCCCTATGAACTCGGAGAACCCCAATGATGGTCCACATGGATAGCTTAGGCTCCATTGGTGTATGACAGGGAAACAGCTTGAGTTATGTGGGTATAGACACCTCAGGCAGTGACAGTGTGGCTCCCAGCAAGGACACAGATGTGGGGTGCTGGTGTAGTTCTGCATTCTTGGGGGCACACTAGAAGGAAGCTCGTTGGCAACAAGGTCCCTGCAGAGATCATGTCCAGAGTGCCGGCCATGGCATGTGCACTCCACCAGTTCCCATTGTGAGGTCAGCTCAAGGATCCTTTGGCCCGTGTGTGCAGTTTGTCTAAGTCCCTGGGGTACAGAGGTGGCTAGAACACCAGGCTCACTTGTCACTCTTTGCAGTTTGTTTTCCGCTGGGGACACCACACCTGACTGCTGAGCCATCTTGCCTGCCCCTAAGTTGTGTTTTTTAAACAGTGGTTTGAAGCCAGATGTGGTGGCACACACCTTCATCCCCAGGATTCAGAATGCTGAGTCAGGAGGATTGCTGTAAGTTTCAAGGGCATCCTGGACTGCACCGTGAGCCCAGGCTGCCTCCTGAGCCACCACAGGTTCCGTAAAGCCAGCAAGAGCAGTTGGGGTGCAGTTCCGCTCAGCTGGCACGGAACCTCGACTGGTTCAGAACATCTGGACTTGGTTCTCTCCCCTTCCCTCTATTAGGCTGTGTAAATGCTACAACTTGAGTTGCTTTCCCTGGGGCACGAGGGTGCCACTCACAAGACTACTTGGGTTCATTCTTAGCACTGTGCAAAAAATCAAAAACCCAAGCAACTCCCCTTCCTAAAGGGGGCAGTGAGCTACAGTGACTGCTGTTGTGGGCCTAGCACTGTGTCTTTAACTCTGACATTGAGTATAAGGTGGCATATTTCTAGACAAAGTCTTTTTTCTTTAATTTTCTTCTTCTTCTTTTTTTTTTTTAATGAACATTATCCCAGGCTGGGAGTGGTGGTGTGCTGCACACCTTTAATCCCAGCACTTGGGAGGCAGAGGCAGGTGAATCTCTGTGAGTTCAAGGCCACTCAGGTTTACACAGAGAATTCCAGGATAGCCAGAACTACACCAAGAAACAGTCTCAAAAATCCAAACAAAACCAACCCTCCCCCCTCCTCCCAAAAAAGACCCACAATATAGCAGCCTGGCCTGGAACTGGCAATCCTCCTGCCTCAGTTTCCTGAAAGGCCACCTGGATTCTATATCCCCATCCCCATTCTCTGTCCTTGCTGTTGCCTTCAGCTCCAGTTCTGCCTGCCTGCCTTCAGGCCTCCCTCACCTCTGCTCTCCCTCAGTCCAGCGGCAGCGGCGCAGTGGGAGGAACACTTCTTTGCTGTCACCTATCCCCTGACCCAGCAGGCCTGGTTCCCTCTGTAGAAGGGCACCAATTTCTCTTCCTTCGTGCCTATTCTTCCATTGCTCTGCAGTCCTTTAGCGTCAGGGCTGGGGTCACTGAGAGCAGATACTCTGGCAGTACAGGCACAGGACTGAGTCTGTACAACTGCCCATGCCCACATTGGTGCCCTGCCTCACCCTCTTTTCTTCTAACCACTTGCAGAAGGAACAGCTGCACACTAAGGGTCGTCCGTTCCGTGGCATGTCTGAGGAGGAGGTCTTCACAGAGGTGGCCAATCTCTTCCGTGGTCAAGAGGACCTGCTGTCGGAGTTTGGACAGTTCTTGCCTGAGGCAAAGCGATCCCTGGTGAGTGCCAAGTGCCAGGATCCTGCCCACAAGATGAATGGGGAGCTAGAGTCTGACAAGTGTGTCCCATACACAGACTGCGGTACTGTGGGAGGAGGAACATTGGTTTACATGGAGAGTGAGGAATATGGCCCCAGGCTTGGAGAAGTAGGTGAGGGGGTTTTGGCCCAGGAACAGACTGCACTTGGCTTTCTTTCCCAGCAGTGACTTGAGGCCTGCCAGAGGTGCCTCAGCCACCTCTTCCTCTTCCTCCTCCTCCTCCTCCTTCTTTGCTTTTTCTTTCTTTCTTTTCTTTTCTTTCTTTTTTTTTTTTTCTTTAAAATGGTTTTTCCAGACAGGGTTTCTCTAGCTTTGGAGGCTGTCCTGGAACTAGCTCTTGTAGACCAGGCTGGCCTCAAACTCAACAGAGATTCGCCCGTCTCTGCCTCCCGAGCGCTGGGATTAAAGGCGTGTGCCAGCATCACCCGGCCTCCTCCTTTTCTTAAGCATATTAATCTTTTTGAAAAGTAGAGATGAGGGGGCTGGAGAGATGGCTCAGAGGTTGAGAGCACTGGCTGCTCTTCCAGAGGTCCTGAGTTCAATTCCTAGCAACCACATGGTGGCTCACAGCCATCTGTAATGAGATCTGGCGCCCTCTTCTGGCATGTGCCATCATACATGGAGGCAGAATGTTGTGTACATAATAAATAAATAAACAAATCTTTAAAAAAAAAAGAAGTAGAGATGAAATTCTCCACTTTAAAGTATACAATTTTGGACCAGGTGTAGTGGTGCACACCTTTAATCCCAGCACTCAGAGGCAGAGGCAGGCAGTCTCTGAATTTGACTTCGTGGTGCCAGCCTCGTTGGCATAGCAAGTTCAGACCAGTCAGGACTAACATAGATGCTGTCTAATCTAATCTAATCTAAAAGGACACAATCCAGTGCTGTGCAGCCTGCTTAGCATGTAGTACACTGTCCCTTTAACTAGTTAGGAGACCCTGTCCCCATTTGTACTCACCCCATCAATCCCCCAGCCTCCGATCTGTTTCCTCCCTGGATTTGCCTGCTCTGTGGCTGTGACATTATCATGTCTTTTGAGATCTGTCTGCATGTAGCCTTTGCTAGCGTTCCTGAGTGTGTGTGTCCATTTTACTCCCTCGTGCTGTGGACATGGGGTGGTTTGCCTTGAAGTTAAATAATGCCACCATGAACAGACATGTTTATGTCTGGTGGCAGCTTTGGCCCTGCGCCTGTGTGGGCTTCCTGGATCACACGGCAGTTCTGTTAACTTTGTGAAGAACTTAGAAAGTGTTTTCTGCATCAGTGGCTCCATTTCTCCACTTTGTCTTTGACTGTGTGACAACTGTTGAGTGGGTGTGTCTTGGCTTCAACTGCATTCCCCTGTGTATCATGTCTTGTGTACTGGCTTTGAAGATGTGTTATTTATTACTACTTATGTGTGTGCATGTTTGTCTATGTAAGTGTATGTGCATCATACAGAAGCAGATGCCTCTGGAGGCCCAGTTGGGTGTCAGATCCCCTGGAACTGGAGTAACAGGTGGTTGTGAGCTGCCAATGGTTGCTGGGACCTGATCCTGGGTCCTTCTGTGAGAGCAGCCAGTGCTCGGTACTCATAACCGTTGAGCTGACTGAGTCCTTACTGTGATCCACCAGATGCTTAGATGTGTGATCTCAGAGTCTCACTGCCACCTCCTGCCACCTCTTCTCTGCTTCATCCTGTTCTGGTGCACAGATTTTTTTGATTGTTTTCCCATCTCACTCTCAGTACTAAGCTTTAGAAGCTGTTGCACAGTTGAGATCATGAGGTTTCCCTATTCCCTTACTTGAGCTGCGTTTTGTCTGTGGGGTGTGAGGTGAGTCCAGCACAGCCAGAAGGGTTGCCATCTGTTGGTCTGTGTATGTTCTCAGACTAGCCTGGAATTGCCTGCAGCCTTTGCAGTGAGTTGAGAGCAGGAGCCTGGGCCTCCACCTCGTTCTTCTTTGTCAGAACTGCTGCAGCTTTTGAGATCCCTGATGGATGTTTTTTATTTTCTTTTTGAGACTGGGTCTTAGTGTAGCTCAGGCTTGCCTTCATCATGATCCTCCTGCCTAGGCTCCATGAGTTCTGGAATCACTAGTGTGGGTCACACACTACTGCTGAATCTTTTTTACCGTTACATATCTCTGTGTGTGTGCGCGCATGTGTGCATGTGTGCACGTGCACATGCCACAGCTGGTGTGGAAGTCAGAGGACAGCTTGGGGGTGTAAATTTTTCCCTTCATCCTGTATGTCTTGAGATCACACTCAGTTCCAAGCCCTTTACCCACTGAGCCATGTTGATGTTGGTCTGGTTTTTGGTCTAATCAAGTATTTGCATCCTGGCATGTTGCCATTGTTTTCTCGGCTTCCCTTACACCTGACTCGTCACTTCCCTTAGCCTTACCCAGGCCTGTGGCCAGTTGCCACCAGGTTTGTCACCTTGTCTTGATCACAAGAGTGTCAGCCGTGGGTGGGATGAAACCTGAAAATATCTCGTACATCAGAGTCTCTTGTGTTACCCAGCCTAGGGCTGTGGCTTGACTCTCTACTGCTACCTGGTATCTGGTTGACCTCCAGGGCCCAGATGATGGCAAAGCTGTGGACACCATGTAGCCTCCATGCCTTCCAACCTCAGGCAGAGCCATGCTGTACATTGCCTGAGTCTTAGAAACAGTAACAAATGACTTTCTGCTGCCTCTGCCTTTTGTGGGTTTTTCTCCTTTGTTTTCCTTTTTGTTCCTTGTGCTGTGTTTAACCTGCCACAGCAGCAGCTCAGAGCAAAGCTGGATAGTGTTTTGCTGCCATTGGTTCTGTTTGGGTACACAGTTACTTCACTTTGCCTACAGTCTGTGCCAACAACACATTTTTTGTAGTGTCTGTATATCTAGGTCCCATGGTGGTGTGGAGTGGGGAACAATGGTGTTAGAATGTCTTTATGACTTCCAGGAGGAGAAGCATCCTTGCCCTGTCTGTTGATTAAAACTTGCTCCAACCACTGTGTGGTATTGGCACACACCTTTAATTCCAGGCAGAGGCAGGCAGATCTCTGTGAGTTCAAGGCCAGCCTGGTCTACAGAGCAATTTCCAGGACTCCAAAGCTACACAGAAAAACTCTGTCTCAAAAAAAAATAAATAAATAAAATAAAAACAAAAAACAAAAGATCAAAAAAAAAAACTTGTTCCAACCCCCCCCTCCACATACACACACACACAATACAGCCCAGAACAAGGCCACTTCCTAGGCATGTTCTGTCGTGCTGTCATGCATAACAAATAATCCACAACCTGGTTCCAAGCCCCCACTAGTGACCTGGATGACGTCAGCTGCTGCTGGGGCTGTGTGCGGCTGCCTCCCCCTCTACCTAGAATGCTTTGTGTTTTCTGTAGACACCCTGGTCAGCTGTGGACCAGGGGGCAGGTACCTGGACACACTCAGTTGTGCTCCCAAGACCACAGGGAGCTTTCTTGCAGCTATGTGTAACATTCACCCAGTGATCTGTGTACTTGGTCTCTGCCCCGAAATAAGACCACTCAGAGGCCCTGACCTGCCACAGACAGTGCCTACCATGGCTACATGGCAAACGAGAATCCTTCCTCCAGTCTGACCACCTCCTGCATTTTGCCTTAGTTCACAGGCAATGGGCCATGTGAGATGAACAGCGTACAGAAGAACGAGGAGAAGAGTCTGGAACACAGCAAGAAGCGCTCTCGGCCCTCACTCCTGCGCCCTGTGTCTGCTCCCGCCAAGGTAACTGTCCATGTGTGGGTTCTTGCTGCACATGACGGGAGTGGTATGGAGGCCCAAGAGCAGGGGACCCGGGGCCAGAGACTAGCTGGTAGAAAAGGACAGCTACTGTCCTGGTGCTCCTTCACCTGCTCTCCTGCCCTGAGGTGGTTGTGAGGAGGAAGGGGGAGTTGGAAGGAAAGGCGTGGCGCGCTGTTGATTCTCCTTTTCACTGTCGTGACTCTTTCGTAGGTGGGGCTGCAATTGAAATGTGCAGTTGTATGGTTTGGTTACTGCACAACTGAGGAGTGAAGGTGGCTGACAACAGTTCCTGTCCCGCTCATCACCCCGTGATGGTGGATCTCTAGTCCTAGCACTCTGTTTACTAGTTGACTTTCTATAGTAATAAAGATTTTTGGCATTTCTGTTTATTTAGTTATGTGCAGCAGTGTCAACCTCAAGTTACAATTCATTACTATGACTGGTATCTGACTCCCAGACTGTCCTGGACAGATCAGTGGGACCCCTTCAGGCTGCCCTTGGGTCTCCTACCATGTCCATTTTTTTCATCCTTACCCCACTCTTGAGGATGGCTATACAGCAGGATGCTTCATGCCATGGGCTTGGGTCAAATGCAGGTCCAAGTCTGGTTTATCCATCTGTGTGTCTGAGAGAGAGAGGAGAGAGAGAGAGAGAGAGAGAGAGAGAGAGAGAGAGAGAGAGGAGAGAGAGAGAGGAGAATGAGAATGAGATATGTCTCAGAGATCAGAAGACAACTTAAGACTCCCTTGGGAGCCTTTGGTTGTCAAGCATGCGACAGGCAGGTTTATTTGCAGAGTTATTTCTCCTGTCCCAAAGTCCAATTTAGAGACAAGTGTCTGCACCCAGCTTTAGACCTGGCTTCCAACCCAGGATGCCTCTGGTGTCGCCCCCTCCCTGCCTTCTGGTCACCCTCTGGCCCATAGGAAGTACAGTAGCTACAGTGTCTGTGTCCCCGAGTCCAGGGTAAAGGCTGAACTGAGCTCATTGGCGCAGTGCTTTCTCAGGTCGCTGAGTTGAAGCCCCAGGATACAGCGCTAACATTTACTGAGCATGCCCGTGCTCCGAGTTTCCCCAGTGCACATGCGCAGATTCCATGTTCTGTTTCCTCGGTGTTTGCCCTTTCCCTAATATCAGTCAACCTGCACAATGACCTGGCCTCCGCTTTCCCAGTCCATGCACATGTGGGGCCCTGGCTTCCCATTTTCACAGTCCATGTCTACAAACATGCTTAAGGCTCTAGGTTCTATTTCCCAGAGTGAATGCGTGCCGCTTTGTGTTCTCATGTGCAAAGCCCTGAATGCTGTTTTCCCAGTCCGTGTATTCCAAGCTTGCGGGAGGTCTTTAGGTTCTAGTTCCCCGTTTTTGCAGAGCATGCGCCATGCCATGGTTCCGTTTCCCCTGAAAGCATCGGCGTAGTACTTGTGAGGCCTAAATTCGAATTCCCTAGTACTTAACTGCGCATGCGTGAGACGCTGTGTTCATACTCCCAGCAGCTGTCAATCATGTACAGGCCCTGAGCCCTCCCTGGCTCTTGTGGGGCTTGAACCATTACTGCACATGCCCATGACCCAGATCTTCTCCACAGCCTTCCACGTGTGCTCAGCGCCAGGTTCGATTCCCAGGTCAGCAGAAAATAAGCCATAACAGGAATCTAAGACCCCAGATCTGACAGGGTGCTGCTGTGGGCTTGCTTCTCCTCAGGTCCTGAGTTGCCCCCCCTCCCACATCACGCGGAACCAAGGCGGGATCAGCATCTTAATGCTGGGCAGCAGACTTCACCTAGGGTCCTGGGAACAGGGCCCTGCCAACTGCATTTGGTGCTTCCCCGGGTTCCGTGTACCCCGCATTGCCTGTGGCAGGGATTCACCATTAAGCTGAGGGTTTCTCTCTGCAGAAGAAGATGAAGCTCCGGGGCACCAAAGACCTGTCCATTGCTGCTGTGGGGAAGTACGGCACCCTGCAGGAGTTCTCCTTCTTTGATAAGGTGAGCAAGAGCCGATCCTTTCAGGCACAACTGCTTCCTGATGACGGTGTCCGGAAGCAAGGCTACCGTAGTGCATGGGAGAGGACAGCATAGGCTACTGAGCTCTCCCAAACATCCACACCCCGCATGCACACATGGCATTTGTAGTGTGTACAAAAGTGCGTACAGCTTCTGCGGTAGTGTCTCAAGCCTCCGACTCTCCGTATTCCCACAGGTGCGCAGGGTGCTGAAGAGCCAGGAGGTGTACGAGAACTTTCTGCGCTGCATTGCGCTCTTCAACCAGGAGCTGGTGTCCGGCTCTGAGCTGCTGCAGCTTGTGAGCCCGTTTCTGGGGTGAGTGGCTCTCGGCTTCCGCCCGTCCCACACAGACCCAGGGAAGTGAGCCAGGAAGTGTGTGTTTGTACATTTCTTTTAAACGTTGCCTTGTTTCCTATGTGTGCACAGATGACGACCAGAGGACAAGTTCTTGTGTGGGTTCTCTCCCACCGTGTGGGTCTCAGGAAGCTAACTCAGACCCTTCTCTCCCACCTGTCATTTTCCTCATTGGTTGGCTGAAGTTGTTCCCCAATTATTGTTGATAGGCTCACATTTGTTTAAAAAAAAAAGTGACTTTGAGAAAACAGGTTCCTAGTGTGAGCATTGCGGCTCAGGTGGAAAGGGATCCTGGCAGTCGGGAGCCAAGGACTAGCACAGGTCACAGTACGCATAGCAGCTTACAGCCCTGCTCTATCTAGGGCAAGGCTTCCCCCGTCTAACAGCTCTGCTGCAGCAGGAGAGGGCTTCCCCAGCCAAGTTGTTGCAGTCCATCTGTGGTGTGCTGGAGTGTAAGACTCAGCTCTGCTAGGGGAAGGTTTGCCCAGCGAAAGTGTTAGCTCGGTTTGGGGGAAAGGTCTCACCCAAACCTCATTCAAGAGGTTTATTGGGAGGGAAGAAGCCAGGAGAGTGGCTGCCTCTGCCAGGGTGGAAAAAGGGCAGCAGCAAACTGAACAGGGTTTATATAGGGCACTTAGGGGTGGAGTTTTTCAGAGAGAAGATTTTCAGGGTAGGAATTAGTCAGATTTCAGTCCCTTGAGCTCAGCTTGGCTAGATCTCTACTCAGGGGTTATGATTAGGGTTAGGGTTGGTTGGTTTTCTGTGTAGTTGGTGAGGAGCAGAGTTGGCTTTGGCTTTCAGTGGCCCTTGTTAACCTTTTGACTCTAATTTTGGGGCCAAGGCATATTTATTTCACCGACTCTGATTCTATGGCCAAAGTGTGTTTTTTTGGCACTGGTTTCAGAACCAGGTTGGGTTTCTTTGTCTGGCCCTTCTTCCCTACACCTACTGCTAGGTGGTCACAACAGCTGACGGTCCCTGGGCTCCAGTGACTTTGTACACTGTGTATGAACAGTGCCTTTTCTTGGATTATGGCTCTGACCTTATGATGTGTGATTTGAAGGTTGTAGATGTAGATATTTGGGGGCTGGTGATACACAGTTCCTCCCTTGCAGGATGCTGGGTAGTGGCATTAAAGGCAGCTTCTTGGTATCCCTTCTCAGGTGTGCCCTCCTGGTACAGCTTGTATCTGTAGTATGCTGAGCTGTGAGTTCGCATTTTAATGCTATTCTCTCTTTTCAAGTTCTCACATGTATTGATATTGTGTTGCGCATGTTACCCAAGTTGCCCTCCTGCAGGTGATGAGTCCACTGACCTCCACATCATACGTGCCCTCCCTACAACAGTAAAATAAATACACAAAATGCAAATTTAAAGGTCTTGGTTTTTGTAAAAAATTAATAGCATTTTAGGTAGCATTGGATGTCAGTTGCTGTAAAATTGTCCCATTCACATGTGTCCTACTTCTGTCCTGACTTCTGAGAATGAATTCACAGGGACCTTTTGGGGCGGGGTCCCCCTCATGTGGGAGGGAGACTTCACCCAGGAAGACAGCCACAGTGGACACGGCTGCTCTCTGTTCTGCCCTGTAGATCAGCCATGAACAGAAGTAAGTAAGTGGGGCAGAGCTGTGTGCCAATAAAGCTTATTTACAGACGCAGTTCATGGGCTGATTGCTTGCAGTGTGTGATACCCTAGGCTCCTGCTGTTGGAGTCCAGGTTCAGCCTCCTGAGACTGGACCAGTCAGCAGAGTCACCTAGGGAACAGTGCAAGGGAGGCAGACCCAGCCTACCCCAGGACGCCAGCACAGGATGGGGAGCTTAGTGATGCCTGTTGCCTCGTGAGGGACGGCTAGCGGCAGGAGTGCTCTGCCCAGGTCAGAGGACAGCCAACAACTGGAGGACTGATGTCAGGGCTCAAGGGGCAAGACTGGTGTCTGTCTGTGTTTGAATAGCATTCCAAGCTGTAGCTTAGGCACAGTTGGCTGTGAACCTCTGCAGGTGACTTACTGGCCACAGGGCTTTTGGGACTCTTGAGTGGTATTTTTTGTTTTGTTTTGTTTCTCCCTTCTGGTTTTGTTTGCTTGTTTGTTTCTTTTTCTTTTAGACAGGGTCTCTCTCGTAGCTCTGGCTATGCTGGAACTCACTATGTAGACCAGGCTGGCCTAAAACTTACTGAGATCTATCTGCCTCTGCCTCCTGATTTAATCTGCTGGGATTAAAGGTGTGTTACTACACCTAGCTTTGTTTCTTTGTTTTTGTTTTTTAATTAGTTAATTTTTATTTTATGTGCATTGGTGTTTTGCCTGCATGTTTGTGTGAGGATGTCACATCCCCTGGAACTGGAATTACATACAGACATTTAGTTGTGAGCTGATATGTGGGTGCTGGGAATTGAACCTGAATCCTCTGGAACAGAAGCCAGTGCTCTTAACTGCTGAGCTGTCTCTCCAGCCTTCCCCCTTTGTTTTTTGTTTTTAAGTTAGAGGACAGAGAATGAAGGCAGTGGGGCCCACAGAGGTTATTCCCATTGTGCTTTGTGGTTGAGTGCAGCTGGCAAGATCTGTATTTATAAGAGGGGGGTGCGGCTGATGGGTGGAGAGGACCCTCCTCCCTTCCCAGCGTTGAGTTCTGAGTCAAACCATCTTTGAAGTTGCACATGCACAAGGCCATCTTCATGACTTTAGGTCATTGTCAGGAGGCAGTGCCCATTTACAATTTCTATCTGTCTTTGAAGGAAATTTCCAGAGCTCTTTGCACAGTTCAAGTCCTTCCTGGGAGTGAAAGAGCTGTCCTTTGCGCCACCCATGAGTGACCGCTCTGGAGATGGCATTAGCAGAGAAATTGACTACGCATCTTGTAAGCGAATTGGATCCAGCTATCGGGCACTTCCCAAGACCTACCAGCAGCCCAAGTGCAGCGGGAGGACAGCCATCTGCAAGGAGGTCAGCCGCTGCCCACAGGCCAGTCTGGGAGGTCATTTTCTTAACTGAAGTTCCCTCTTCTCAGATGATTCGAGCTTGTGTCAAGTTGACATAAAACTAGCCAGGACACCATGTGTGCTCAGTGTGACACTCGTCAGGTTTTGGAGTCATCAGGTTTTGGAGTCCTCAAGAGGGAACTCAGGAATCCGTCTGAAGTCCAGACAATTTGAGGTCTGCAAAGTACTGTAAAGCACACTAGTCCACTGCTGTGTTTGTCAGTAAAGCTTTGCTAGCTGACAGCGGGCCCTTGGTGGACACACTGCCTATGGCTACTTTTGTTGAACAAAGGCCAAGTTGCATATTCAAGACAGAGCACCCAGCCTATGAAGGTTCAGATCAGGTCTCAAGCCCATCATGCTGGGATGCTTGGCTCTGAGACACTGTTGTGTGTTCAGCACCACAGCTGTGGCCTGCTTAGGAGCAGCTAGAGACTTAATTTCTAGTCGGGAAAGTAGAGGAAGTAACTGCTCACATCGTCTGTACCAGCATGCTTAGTGACACTCCTCTCCCTGGTCCAGGTTCTGAATGACACATGGGTGTCTTTCCCATCCTGGTCTGAAGACTCTACCTTTGTCAGCTCCAAGAAGACACCCTATGAGGAGCAGCTGCATCGCTGTGAGGATGAGAGGTTTGAGGTCAGTGAAGCTACGTGTCTAACCCACCTACACCCCTGCCTGCCTGTCCTGCCTATCCTCTGTCCACCCAGCTCAGTGTCTTCATAGTGCAACCCAGAATCGAAGTCTCTCTCCCCTGCCACTAGAGCAGCTCCCAAAGCTCCCTGCTGGCCAGTTCTGCCAGCTCTAGCGCTCCCAGCACAGCACTACCCCTCTTTCAACTAAAGAAAGTGGGAACTGGAGAGATGGCTCAGAGGTTCTTCCGGAGGTCCTGAGTTCAATTCCTAGCAACCACATGGTGGCTCACAGCCATCTGTAATAAGGTCTAATGCCCACTTTTGGTGTGAAGGTGTACACGCCGAGCACTCACACATAAAATATAAATAAATTTTAAAAAATCAACTAAAGACAGTGGGTTAGTTAGCTTAAAACTTTGTTAGCTTTATTTTTATTGATGCTGTAATTGAGCTCTCATCCCTCATTGAGTGTCCCTCCTGGGGACAGACAAAAACCACCCTTCCTATCCCAAAATTCATATGTCTTCTTGTTGATGTGGTTTTATTTCATTCTAAAGTTTACTTATTTTTATTTTGTGTGTGTGGGTGTTCGCCTGCATGTAGGTCTGTGCACCATGTATGTGAGGTGCCAACAGAGGCCAGAAGAGGCTACTGGATCCCTGGAACTGGAGTTAAGGACAGTTGTGAGCCACCCTGTGGATGCTGGGAATTAAACCTCAGTCCCCTGGAAGAGCAGCCAGTTCTAGCCACTGAGCCAGCTCTCCAGCCTTTGGTTTCCTTTTGAAACTGTCTCTCTTTATAGCATAGGCTGGTGTATAATTTGTGATCCTCCTGCCTCAGCCTTCCGACCCCAGGTCCTGAGGGTCCTGTGTACGTGTGTTTCTATCTTGTGCTATGACACGGTTCCTGTGGGTAAGGCAGCTGCTGGGAAGTGGGATGTGAAGGCCATACTGGGGAAGCCTGCCTTTGGTATCCCATAGTGGGAGGGACCCAAAGGAGCCCAATTGTGGTTTTTCTCCCCCTTCTGAGCGGTGCCGCCCACCCATGAGGGCAACCTGTGCCTGAAGCACATCTTCAAAGTCCTATGTTCTATTTGAGACAAAGTTGTCTTGGAATGCACAGTCTCCTTCTTCTGCATCTCATGTGCTGGGGTCATGGACCTATGCTAAGCGCAGCTTCCTGTTAATACTGCCACACCAACCTCTAAATTTCAGTGTGAGTTTGGGAGAGGCCGGTGATCAAACTGTAGTGGGAAGTGTGTGTGTGCATCTGAGTGTGTGTATTGTATGGTTCTGCCAGCGGTGGAGTCGAGGCCTGAGCCACACATCCCCCTTCTCTCTGCTGTTCTAATAATCAGTAGTCATACTCAGCCTGCCCCTTCCCTTCTCCTGTACACTCCCTTCTGTCCCATCCTCCACTCTGCTATCGTTTCCAGATAGACAGATGCAGTTTGTGTGGCGGTGGCAAAGGCAAGAGGATTGCCTAAGTTTCCTGTCTCTGAAAGATGAAAAAATGAACAAGGGCCTGGAAAGAGGACTCAGCAGTTAAGAATGCTGACTGTTCTTGGAGAGACCATGGTTTAGGTTCCAGGACCCACTTTGGGCAGCTTACATCCTCCTGTAATATGAGCTCCAAGGAGTCCAACAGCACCTCTGGCCTCCAGAGGTACTGCACTCACTTGCACATACCCACACACAGAGTTGCACATAGTGCAATGTTAAAAATGAAATAAATCATTAAGAAAGCCAGCAAGTGAATAGAAAGTATAAATGATGTCACAGGGTAGGCTCTATGGTGCTCAAGCACCCCATGAAGTGGTATGTACCACTTGCTGTACCATTGTAACTGCACCCTTCCCACATGGTGTGCATGATGGGCGCCCACACTCACGGGCTCCATTGACAGCTCCTTCGCACAGCTCACTGAGGTCCCAGTGCTGACCATACCTGGCCCTCCCTGCAGTTAGACGTTGTCCTGGAGACCAACCTGGCTACCATCCGTGTGCTGGAGAGCGTGCAGAAGAAGTTGTCGAGGATGGCGCCTGAGGACCAGGAGAAGCTCCGCCTGGATGACTGCCTGGGCGGCACATCAGAGGTGATCCAGCGCCGTGCCATCCACCGCATCTATGGCGACAAGGCCCCCGAAGTCATCGAGAGCCTCAAGAGGAACCCTGTCACCGCTGTGCCTGTTGTTCTGAAAAGGTGTCCCTCCTTTCCACTTCCCTCCCTGACTCAGGGAGCTACTAGGCTTCTGACCAGTGGTGTCATCTGACCCTGTTCCCAGGGCCAAAGGGAGGTGCTGACCCCCAACTGACCTCTCCCACACTCTAGTCCTGAATAGAGTCTTGACAGCCAGACTCCCAGACATCTGTTGTGGTCACATCCACCTTCAGGTGTAGATATGCATTCTCACTTTTGGGGGTGGTTCTGGGACCCTCCAGACCCTTCTAGAATTTGAATCAGTGCTTACATAAAACCTACACCTTGTCCATGCCTGTGCGTTACCCTAGGTGACTTAGAACACTGGTGGCAGTATACATGCTGTGTATTCCTGCTTAGGTGTGCTTGAATCCTGGGATGTGAAGGGCAGACTGTGACTATAAAACACAAAGCTCCCTGGCCTGCTGTCTCTTGACAGCGTTAATGACAGCTGAGTAGGCAGCTGGGCACCTGGGAGAGGTGGAGGTCTAAAACCAGCCACGGCTGGAGAGATGCTCAGCAGTCGAGAGCAGAGGACCCACATGGCGGCTTACAGCTGTCTGTAATTCAGGGACACCAGGCATGCATTGTAGTGCATATACATGTAGACAAAGCATGCACACATAAAATAATCTTTTTTTTTTTAAGTAACCGTTTTGGCTATGTGGAACTACTGCCCCTCCCACTCCCTCTGTGTGGTTCTGGGGTTTTGTTTGTTTAGGTGATATGGTCTTATGTAGCTGAGGCTTGGACTTATTTACCATGTGCCCATGGCTAGCCTTCTGACTCCAGGTCCTGAGTGCTGGGATGACATCTTGCACCACCATTCTGTGCTCTTTTGTTTTGTTTTGGGTTTTTTTTGATTTGTTTTGTTTTGAGACAGGGTTGGTTTTTCTGGGTAATAGCTCTGGCTGTCCTGAAACTTGCTCTATAGACCAGGCTGACCTAGAACTCACAAGATCCATTTGCCTGTGCCTCCCAAGTGCTGGGATTAAAGGTGTGTATCAACACTGAGCTCCACTTCCCACAGGCTGAAGGCCAAGGAGGAGGAGTGGCGGGAGGCCCAGCAGGGCTTCAACAAAATCTGGCGTGAGCAGTATGAGAAGGCGTACCTCAAGTCCCTGGACCACCAGGCTGTGAACTTCAAGCAGAATGACACCAAGGCTCTGCGTTCCAAGAGCCTGCTCAATGAGATTGAAAGCGTCTATGACGAGGTGAGGCACCTGGGCAGAGACCTCACCCCTGGCCTGCAGAGCCCTTGCCTTGCAGTGGGGACTGGGGTGTTAAAGGCTGCTGCCTGCTGGACTTTGCCCTGGGCTTCTCTGCTGTGCAGATGGATTTTTTGATTTGTATGAGAGTGAATGTGAGTACAGGTGTCCTTGGGGGGCCAGAGGCTTATTCTCCTTTTAGAACTGGAGTTCTAGCTGACCGTGGGCCACCTGAAGCCCAGCTCAGGTCCTCCGCAGGAAGATCAAGCACTCTTTGCTCCAGCCTCCATAGTGTGATCTTTGAGGGCAGATGTGGTGGCTTGGGGTAGAGCACTTACCTAATTTGAGGCAACCACATGGGGAAAAAGATTGTTGAGGGGTCCATATATTAGTAAACCAGACTCTGTCCCTGTGATAAGCATTTGAGAGAAAGCATCAACAAGACGAAGGTTGGTGTTGGCTCATAGTCTGGGACGCCTCAGCTTGTCTGCCTAGCTCCTCTGATTTAGACCGCTCACAAGTTGGCAGCATCATCGTAAAGGGAGAGGAGCATTGGCAAGACACCCTCGAGGTGTCACCCGGTACCCACCACCGCCACTCAGGCTCCACCTGCCCCACTTCCCAATAGTACTGATTAGGAAGCCATCATTAGGTCAGCTGTCCATGAGCCTCATGGGCCATTCGCCTCACAGTTGGCTCCGCCAACTGTGGGACCAGGGCATCCAGACTCCAGCACTGTCCTAATGCTTCCTGTTGCTGCGGTGAACACTATGACCACAGGCAACCTGGGGAGAAAAGGGTTTATTTAGCCTTTAGGACCATCGTCGGGGCAGTTGGAACAGGAACTCTAGGTAGAGAAACACTGTTTACTAGCATGCTCCCCGTGCCTTGCTCAGCCTGCTTTCTGTCCGCCCACATACCTGATGGGCTGGGCCAGTCTGGTGCCCACAGTCGCCCGCCTCGTCCAGTTTCCTCTTCCTAAGCGACTCTCACCCGTGTCAAGGTGACAAAGCAACAACAATAAAGAACAAAGGGAGCAAAGTGCTGCCACATACACAAAACAGGGAAAGGAGGCCCAGGGTGTGTGAGGCGCTCTGGTGGGTGGGGCATTGGGCCCACCTGGACTCTGGCCATGAGTGTCTGAGGTGCTGAGTTGAGGTCTGGTGAGACCTGTGCTGGTAAACTGGGTCCTGCCTCAGATGGCACTTGAAGGACCCCCAGAGCTTCACCATGCACTAACAGGTGAGAGCTGAGGTGACACCCAGGCCACTCCTAAAAACTCCCTGTCTAAGGAGAGTGTCCTCAGAACTCAGATATGTCTGCCTCTCCATGCAGTGCCTGGAGTTGGTGCCCCTCAGAGGGTGGCTACTTACAGAGGTGGCACCTGGGTGGGAAGGGGCAAGTAGTGGTCACCTTTGTGTTTGGGAAGGTCATTATCCAGAACAGCACTACAAGGCGATACAGTGAGCAGCCAGCACGCTCAAAGGCTGAGGGCTCAGCAGGAGGGAGCGTGCTCATAGTAGACTAACAGAGTACTGAGGTCTCAAAAGGCCTGGGGCAGGTGCCCGTGCTTTTGTTGCCTGAGGAGCAGGACAGGTACAAGCTTTTTTCATGGTGGTGGGTGATAGGCAGGGATATGGGGGAGGTCTGCTGAGTGCAGTTCCAGCCCTGTGGAATGGAGCTGAGTTTTTGAGTGACAGATGGTGAGGGCCCCTGGTACACTCTTGGCCTCCCCCAGGGGAGACCTCACCCATGGGAAGCCCAGAACAGTGGCTCTGTCGTCTCATTGCAGTCCTCGAACCTGTGAGAGAAGAGGAAGGGTGGGCGAATGGCCCCCCACTACTCGGGATTTGTACCCTACTTGCCAAGATCGCTCATGCTTTCTGAGGAGGCTGTTGGGCTGGAGATGGGGCTTGGGTGATTGGCATGCCGTGCCCACTATCTGCCACCCTTGCAGCACCAGGAGCAGCACTCAGAGGGCCGCAGTGCACCATCCAGTGAGCCACACCTCATCTTTGTGTACGAGGACCGGCAGATCCTGGAGGACGCGGCTGCGCTCATCAGCTACTATGTGAAACGGCAGCCAGCCATCCAGAAGGAGGACCAGGGCACCATCCGCCAGCTGCTTCATCGTTTTCTGCCCAGCTTGTTCTTCTCGCAGCAGCGCCCTGGCGCCTCCGACGACTCTGCGGATGAGCGCGAGCGCGATGGGGAGCCTGAACGCAGGCGGCCAGCCGATGAGAAGCCCCCAGTGGACACACCACCCGAGCCGCCCAAGGCCCTGGACGACGTGTACAGCCTGTTCTTTGCCAACAACAACTGGTACTTTTTCCTGCGGCTGCACCAGACGCTGTGCGCACGCCTGCTCAAGATCTACCGGCAAGCGCAGAAGCAGCTGCTGGAGCATCGGCGCGAGCAGGAGCGGGAGCAGCTGCTGTGTGAAGGTCGCCGCGAGAAGGCCGCTGACCCTGCCATGGAACTGCGCCTGAAGCAGCCCAGTGAGCATCAGGGCCCAGGCGCTGGGCCAGCCTCTGCCCCTTTAGGCCTCCTTGGTGGAGGGTGGTGGAGGATCCAGGGCCCTACCACGCTGGAGAGTCCCTAGAGAGTCTGGGCTGCCCTTGCAGGTGAGTGAAGCCGCCGACCCCTCCCTCTAGGTGAGGTGGAGCTGGAGGAGTACTACCCAGCCTTCCTGGACATGGTGCGGAGCCTGCTGGAGGGGAGCATCGACCCCACTCAGTATGAGGACACTCTCCGCGAGATGTTCACCATTCATGCCTACATCGGCTTCACCATGGATAAGCTGGTGCAAAACATTGCTCGCCAGGTGAGGCTACCTGTCCCAGGGCAGGGCAGGCTGGGGAGCTCTCTTTTTCCCACCCTCTGTACTTGTCACCTTGGGAATTGTTCTCAACACCTGGTCACATGGCAAGTCTTCCCTTTTGTTTCAGTGAGATGAAGTTCACGCACCAGAATTAATCATTTCATAACGTTTAGCACTGTTAAATGTTTCTAAGGATAATAAGCCCCTACACCCCAGCTGTTCCAACATCCAAAATGAGAGCCCCAACACAAAGCTGTACCCTCTGGGGAAGAGCGTGCCTCTTGTGAGTTGAGTCAGTACTGGAAGTGCTTCCTTCCAGTATTTCTTCATTTTACATGTGTGTGTCTGGTCTGGACACACAAGAGCCATGGTGTGTGTGTGTCGTAAGACGGCTTGCAGGGCTTGGTTCTCTCCTTCCACTGTGGGGGTCTGGGGGTTGAACTCAGCTCAGGTCATCAGCCTTGGCTGCAGATGCCTTTACCCACATCTCACTGGCCCCAAGAACTTTTTTTGTTTTTCCTTTTTGGTGCTGGGCATGGAAACCAGGGCTTCGTGTGTGGTAGGCAAGTACTGCCCACTGTGCCAAGCCCTGCCCCCAGGGACTTGAGAGGTAAAGCAGACAAAGCTCCAGATCTCCAGGGACCACCCAATGGGTTTCCGTGAGCAAAACTTCCCCACCCTGATTCTGCACAGAGGTTTCAAACCGTGTGGAAGTGTCGCCCTAGCAGTGACCTCTGGCCTTCAGACTGACCTGCTGTAGTGTCTCTCTGGGCTTGAGTGTCTGAGTCACCTCTGCAATGGGCTCTGACCTGGTATGCGGCAATGGTGCCTCCTAGTGGTGAGCGAGGCCACACGCTGTCCCCACCTCTGGTTGCTAGACCCACGTTAGCTAAGCTCATGTTGCACTTCCCCAGTGGCTTGTGGTCTGACCTCCTGTGACCACTCGGGACTCTTTAGATGTCCTGTCCTTTTGGGAAGCCAGAGAGCCTGTCTTGCACCCACCCATGTTGCTCTCCAGCCCACCCTACCCCACCACATCACAGCCAGCAACTGTCACGGTCCCTCTATCCCCTCTCTTTAAGCACCTTTTCCTTTCCTGTGTGTTCCAGGAGTGAGTCTTCCTGTCCCTGTTCACAGCAGTGGGTTATGGGGAAACATAGCTTCAGGGTCACAATACACAGTGTCAGGGCAGCAAGGTGGGGACAGTAAGGGACCATAGCCCCTGGAACAGCAGCCTTATTCTTGGCACTAGATGATTGGACCAGATCAGGCCCTTTTGTTAAAGCTTCTCCTAGGACTGAGGAGGTGGCCACCGATTAGAGTGCTTGCTGTGTGCAAACATGAAGACCTAAGTTCAGTCGTAGCACCCTGTAAGAAGCTGGGAGTGGCAGCGATGCTCCTTGTCTTAAGGTTTTACTATGCTGTGGTGAAACATCAAGACCAGAACAAGCTGAGGAGAAAAGGGTCAGGTTTCAGCTTAGAGTTCCATGTAACAGTTCATCAAAAGCGGTGAGGGCAGGAACTCAAACAAGGCGGGAGCTGATGCAGAGGCCATGGAGGATGCTGCTTCCCCTAGCTTACTCAGCCTGCTTTCTTAAGGAACCCAGGACCACCAGCCCAGGAGTGGAACCACCCACAATAGGCTGGGCCCTTCCCATCAGTTGTATTAGGAAAACACCCCCAAACTGACCTGAAAGCTGTTCTTACAGAGGCATTTTCTCAGCTGAGGCTCCCTCCTCTCAGGTGACTCCAGCTTGTGTCAGGTTGACATAGGACTACGGAGCACACTTGTGTACCCCACGCTGTGGAGGACAGAACAGGAGGATGGCTGGAGCTTGCTGGACATAGGGATGACTCCAGGTCCAGTAGGAGAATCCATCTCAAGGCAGTAAGACAGAGAGTGATAGAGGAGGACACGGCTGTCGCCCACTCCTCTCCACTGGCCTGTACGAATGAACAAGTGTAAATGCACACACGTGCACACACACACACACACACACACACCTTCTCAGACGGTAGAAACTGTTTTAAGAGGGAAATAATGAAATTGAGTAAGGAGGATGAGTGCTATCTGTGGCTGTCAAACCCCTGTAGTGGCTGGCCAAGGGCTACCATGCTGGCACTGTGCCTACCTTGTCTGCAGCATTTCTGTTCCTTCTGTCCTGTTCTTGTGGAGATGGTGGGTGGGTAGGATCTGGACCATCATCCCTGTGGTGCCAAGTAACACCTAAGACCTGCTGACCTGGCCCGACCTTTCTTTGTATTATGTTCTTCATAAAAATGGGTAAGAGGACTGTTTTTCCCCACACATCTGGGAGGAAGGTTTAGATGAGGCACTGCTTTCTCCTTCAGTTTGCTACTCTGGTCTAGTCTGGTTTAGTCTGCTCTGGTCTGACTTGGTCTGGTCTGGTCTACCTACCAAAAAAAAAAAAGATTGTTATTTGTTCCAGGTGATTTAGTCTTCACCCCTCCCAACCCCCAGTCACAGACTTGTTTCCTGGGGTGTGTGGCTGTGGCCAGTGTCTCCAGGGATGGTGGGCGGGCTGCAGGAGGTGGCAGTTGTGGCCTTGCTCTCTCCCTGCCAGCTTCACCACCTGGTGAGCGACGACGTGTGTCTGAAGGTGGTGGAGCTGTACCTGAATGAGCAGCAGCGAGGGGCAGCAGGCGGGAACCTGTCCTCCCGCTGTGTCCGTGCTGCCCGGGAGACAAGCTACCAGTGGAAGGCAGAGCGCTGCATGGCCGACGAGAACTGCTTCAAGGTGAGAGGCTGTGCGGTGGTCTGGGGCTAAAGGCCAGGCTCCTGGGAGAGGACTGGACACTGAGAAGGATCCAGGGGCACTGTCACCACACTTGTGGACCAGAAATGGTGGTAGCACCTGCTGGGTCCCTCCTACAGGACAGTGCCAGGACCTTGAAGGGTGTTAGGGCGGGTGATGACCGCTCAGGCTATGGCCACCTCCCCAGGTAATGTTCCTGCAGCGCAGAGGACAGGTGATCATGACCATAGAGCTCCTAGACACTGAGGAGGCGCAAGCAGAGGACCCTGTAGAGGTGCAGGTGAGTCTGCCCCCCGTTGTCTGGAGTCAGTGTGTAAGTCGGCCCTGCAGCCTTCCTCCTGCCTACACTCACACCACAGATCACAGTCCTGGCCACATCTCCCACTCTGCTTACAGTTAAAAATATACCCATGTAAGCCCCAAAGCCATCACTGAGGACCCTTCCACTGTCCTCCTGCTACCTTCCAGGGTCCCTGT